GGTGGTGGACCTCACCTCCTCTAGGGGGGTCCGGGGGCAAGCTCCCCCGGGAAGATTTGTTTTAAAATGTTGAAGTTAAATGCATCAATCTGGTGCATTTGGAGAGCAAAATTAGGGACTAAAGCTATGGATACATCTCTCAACACCAATATGAAACAGAACTGTAAACAGATTTACTTTTTCTTTCAACATTTATTTGAACAGCAAGTGGAGGCAAAAGTGACTGCACCCAGAACAATAAACCTGCTAGCTAACTAGCCTAAACTCAGTAACAGAATGTGGGTTCTGAATGAACGTTCTTCTCCACAGCCGTGCGACCTCTGAGTCAGACGTCACTTCCCCCTTTTCTATCCTACGGGTGCAGCCACTCCACCTGAACCCCTCTCTGTACAGAGAGTGAGGTGTTCCTTGAGACACACATCATATTTTCCCAGCAAAACAATCATCTCTAAAAAGTTACCATGATCAATGGTGTCATCATCTTGTGTATATAATGCCTCCGCCTGCGTGCCCCTGTAGCTCAAACCACTTTGACCAATGAGCTTCAACACATCTATGATGCACTCCAACACTTGACGCTTCCTGCGGACTTCCTCTCTGTGACGTGACATCTGAGGTCCCATGAGAAGGTCCTGAATTGTGTTTTTTGAGAATCTGAGGAAATATGCCTCAGCGCAACCTCTGTGAGCATGGCTCTGATCATGCTCCTCGACTCTCTGATGTATGTGTGTGAAGTTGGTCATGCCAGTGATGAAGGAGTTGCTATCTCTAGGATTAGCAAAAGCCATACAAAGGGAGCAGAAGAGTACTTCTCTGGCTTCACTGTATGATAGCTATTTCCTGTTTGTGCCGTCTTTGCAAAAAAAGCCCTCTGCACTACAGCCTTGTCTGCCTTCTGCTGGGGGTGAAAACGGAAGAATAGGTCTAATGTGCCTGACATCGGCCTGGTGAAATAATCAACTGGGGTGGCACTGACATCCTGGCCTTGACTAACTCTGTCAGTGTCAGCAGCAGGATCATCTTCAGCCTACATAAATGATTAGTATTGATTAGTATGTTACGTTATTATGTTACCACCATGTTATTATTATGTATGTAAACCAAGTAAAGTCTTAAAGACAGTAACAGGCTAATTTCCACCAGACAGTAACTTTAGTTGCAGGTTGACAAATAATGGACCCTTTATTATTTGTAGTATTAATAAGGTAACCTAACGTCTAAGCTAATCAAACAAAAGACAGTATAAGCAATCATAGTAGTCTCATTGATTCACCAGCCCAAGTCAAGTGGCTATAATGTTCAAATAGATTACCGTTGTCAATGAGTGAAGCAAATCTACCAGCAGCTTGCATATTTCACCAGAATTTGGTCAGTGAATGTTGTTAATTTTACCCTGTCCCTGTGAACACACAATGTACTGTAGGCAATAGGCTAGCTAGCTAATGCATTAGCTGTCCCTGTGAACACACAATGTACTGTAGGCAATAGCCTAGCTAGCTAGAAATAGGCTAGCTAGCTAATATTACCTCATCTGCTACATTAAAAAGCAAGCTAGCATTAGCCAAATGAGGATTTTCACTTTCAGCATCAATCATAACATTAACTTACCATCATATCACTGCTGGTACTGGGCTCTATGAGTCTGAGAGCATGCACCAGAGCGATCTAATTCCTCCGTTTTTTTAAATATGTTGTTTGGCTCAGCCTAAACAGAGTTATTTGAAGAGGAACACTGCTAAAACACTGTACCCTCGACTTTGGAGAGTATGAATATTTAATAAGAAAACATGCTTCAGCAGCCACAAATCCCAACACATATTGAAAACACAAGTTCATGTCCTTTAATGGAATTACATCATTGCACCACCACATAGCCAAGAACACAGCTGCAAAATGAATAAAAAGTGCATGTTGAACTGATTCAATTCAAGTAGAGGTCAAATTTATAAAACACCAAAAGGACACTTTAATCGGTAGGTAGTGTTCTCAGTTTTTTTCCAGCTCATCAACATGGTTCATACGGTTTGTACTTGAGGGAAAATAATACAAAAGGTTGCAAAAATGTACAGCATTCCTCATCTGAATACAGTGTGAAAGGATAAAGAACACTGACAAAGAAATGGTAGCCATGTGAAAGTGTGTAGATATCCCTCATCTGACTCTGATAATCTAGTCTCAGAGTTTGGAGACACTTCAGGGTAAATAACTATTGTTGAACATTCAAACGCAGAGGCGTAAAGGGAACAACATATAAGAAAATGGACATTGATAGACATCCGGTATGTATTTACATTCATTAGTGGAGCTGTGGCTGCTGGGCCAAACCTGTTTCCATTGTACTTTCACATGCTGTTTAGAAATACTTTAGAGATTCTTTCCTTGTTAAACCTGCCAGGTCAGCACGAAATTACAACAAAGCGCCATCATGTCTGCATCAGTCGTTTACTCCACAAGTGACCGTATCAAATTACAAGAATTAGATGCTTTTTAGTTTTTCTACCACACTTCAGGTTGATAGAGAGCAATATTAGTGTTATATGTTACAGAGACAGTCAAAAAAAAAATAATATTCTCGCAGATGTTTTTCAAAGGGTCATAAAGTATCCTGCATCGTGCTGCAGGATTTTTAAGGAAGTTAGAGAAAGCCTTGTTCCCTTTGGTGTGTAAAACAAAAATTATAAACCACATGAGAATTGAGCTTAATTTAAAAATATCAAGTGATGATGAACAATCGTTCTTGTCTTGAAATCTCAAGACATCTAGTGACTCCTGAGCACTTGAGAAAATCAGAAAAGCACTTTCATACATTGGTTACATGAGTGAATTATGTAATTTAAAGCTCTATTTGATGCTAGTGCAGAACTCTAATTGCGTAATTACGTTCCGAAAGGACCAATTCCTGCTGCAAATGATCATCATTCAAGCACGCTATCAAAACTTCACACTCAGCACAATTGAAGCTTGAGAATTAAATGCAGATGTGTGTTTGTAGCAGAGAGAAAATTAAATCCTGACACCTCTTTACAAGGATATCTTGAGTCATCGAAGATAAACCAGTGTGGATCCATAAACTGGAGTTTGCATGATCATATCCCAGTGTATCTCTCCTGCACTGCAGAAACACAGAATGCTCTCCTTGTTCCTTCACTGTGTCCAGAGTGGTGTGATGTTTTCAATTTAGAAGTAATGACAATTCCTTCTGCCATTTTCCTTTCCACTGCAGGGTTTGGCGGGATGCAACGCCATGGAAAATCAACAATCAAATCCAAGGCCAGTTAACCTTAAGGGGATAGCACTTTGTGTACTTGTTCTTTATTTACCTAAGACCAGGAAGCTTCAATGTTTCCTGGATGGAGAACCGAGATAATTACATGACGCAGATTCACATGGAAGCTAATTGAGTCAATCGTAAACCCATATCCCACTGCAACCTGCGAACAAATGTAATCATTGTTTTAAATGCCTGACTTAAATCCCAGATGCTTCTGGTAAAGTGATTATTGAACTGCACCAGATGAACATATGCATGGAATACATACTCATCATGCAGAACCACAACCTCAATTATTGAAGCATTCATTAGAATGAACAATCAAGTTAGTGTAATAGCACTTAATGAAACTGAGTACTTGTTGAGGAACATATTAGTGTTTTTTGCACATTCATAGCTAGCAATGAGCTTCAGAACAATCGTGAATATTGACAAATATTGTGCAATATACCCCATGAACAAATGCTTTGATTTCCTCTATATTTTTGTGTCCCCTCAACAAACAACATTTATATTTCAAGTTGAACAGATTCACAATCATCTAAGATGAATTCTATATCTGTAAATAGAAAATGCTATTTCTTTACATGGATTTCACAGAAAATAGTTTCCTATAGTGTCATTATCACTGAGCTTGTATGAACTCGCCCTTTCAAGAGGCAAAGGCAAGACATGGCAAAGCAGAATCCACACATATCTAATCTTGTTGGCTGATGTGTAAGTGTGACAAAGGGTCCCCATAACCTGGAGGTTACCATGCAATTAAAAAACGTGTCCATCCTTGAGATGTCTTTGCCTAAGATGCTGGACCTCTACTGTATGAATATATTTACAGCGCTATACATGACGTCGTAGCCCGTAGTAAAGGAATTGATTGCCATTTCCTGCCAACAGCACTCATACTTATATTGGCAATAAGAACAAAGATTGAAAATAACCTTCATTTTATCTCAGACCTATGGTGATTTCCACTGTACACGTTTAAGGAAAATGAGCATATATTTATATTGAGAGGTAGCATTAAGGTGGACACAGTTTGGCTGTTAAGAACATTTTAAATGTAGAACAACAAATTCAACATGTTCAAGGCAATCACCACCACATAATTATACGCATGAATTCTTGAATCTGAGTAATTAAAGCATATGTTTCAAGAGTGCCAAAATAGCTTTTCATGTTTAAGATGTTTTATGCTGTGTATTATTTGGACACAGCTTCTGTTATTTCATTATTTTCCTGTTTATCAGACTTGTATCCAAACAGCACCTTTGTCTCTACTTAGGCTATATGAACATATTGTCCTTTTGTTCCATTATGAACTTGCAGAACAAGGATTTCTCAGTGAGACATTGACAGCCATGTAACTACATTACTAACACTAAGAAAGTGGATCACATCACTCCTGTTCTGAAGTCTTTACACTGGCTTCCTGTGTGTCAAAGAATAGATTTCAAAATACTGCTGCTGGTTTATAAAGCTTTGAATGGTTTAGGCCCAAAATACATTTCTGACCTCCTGCTAAATTATGAACCAACCAGATCTCTCAGGTCTTCAGGGACTGGTCAGCTTTCTGCCCCCAGAGTCAGAACTAAACATGGTAAAGCAGCGTTAAGTTATTATGCTCCAAATATCTGGAACAAACTCCCAGAAACCTGCAGGTCCGCTGCAACTCTGACTACTTTTAAATCCAGACTGAAGACTTTTCTTTTTGCCACTGCTTTTAATTGAAACTGAGCGGTTGTGTTTCGTTTTTGGTTAATGAACATTTGGGGTTAGTAACCCCAGGGAATCAGTGTCTGGGGACTTTGTCCTGGCTGGTTTTCTCTGTGTATGCTGCTCGGGACGTATGTGCCATACAAGCGTACACAGCTCATGCACGGAGAAACCTTAAAGAAAGGCATCAGTAAAATGGAACTTCTGTGTGAACTATTCATATCTTAAACTGCACTGTAACTTTTTATTCATGTATTTTTTTCTTTTAATGTTTCTTTCTTTATCTTTTCTTTTTAATGACGGCTTTTAAATGCCTTTGTCTGAATGTCTTTCATTTTTGTAAAGCACCTTGAATTGCCTTGTGTTGAAAGGTGCTATATAAATAAACTTGCCTTGCCTTGCCTACATTATAATAATGCCCCCCTGCCATCCATAATGCTGAAAAACACACATTTACAGTTATTTGCCACATATAATTGGTTCAAAAGAGTGGAATGAAGCTATTCTGAAAAGAACATTGCTGAGAAAAATACTTGTAATTGCACAAAAAACATACCAGTGCATTCATATTCAAGGGCGAACGTGGCATAAAACTAAAAGCTTCACGTAATTTTTTTGGCTGCTATCCCGAGGAAAACAACGTACATTATACTATACAATTTACAACAACTGATACCAAGCAGGTAGCATGATTCAGTGCAGAAGTCACTATAACACCAGACACTAATAAATAATCTGACAATCAACAATCGGCTCCAGTTTAGGATTGTATTTCTTTCAGAAGAACCTCTATGGCTAAATTTAATGTAAGATATGGCAGTCCTATTTACATCTTAATATATGCAAATGTACAGTTTCCATCTTAATTTTTAGACATACGGAAAATCCATTAGTCCTTTAGCTAGTTTATGGCTTCAATTTGGCTAAAGCAATTTGCAAGAGCACAAGATGGATTACTTCCATATAAGTCCATTTAGAGTCCCCCATATTCAGGTCTTGAGTCTGGGAGATGCTGTTATCAAAACAGAAAACTTGCCGCGCTGCAGCCAAATGTAACGCGTGACAAGGTCATGCATCCACATGCTGGTTTGGTGACTTCGGATGGAATGTGTTTTAAACAAAACAAAGCACCCCGAGCAGACTTGGCTTGTTCTTATTAAGACTGCAACTGAGACCACTGTACAATATCCTTCTGTCCAGAACATGGAGAGACCCTTTGTTAACATGATGTTAGGACACATCCATGAAAATCGTGTTTCCATATTCTCTTCCATCCAATCTGTCTGAACTTAAAGCCATGATATAATTCCTGTCAAATGTTGACATCCTTGCTGCCTTGTGGTTTATCAAGGTTGTTGCCGTCTTGATGGTTCTGCTTATTGAGGGCGTCCAATGCCGTCTGGGTCTCCTTCGGTTCCTCTATGGAGCAGTTGGACACTGCATTAGCCACTAAGCAGAACTTGCGTAGGAGGATCTCTCTGAGGAGCAAATAGACCCATGGGTCCAGGATCTGGTTGAGGGAGGCCAAGCGGATTGCTGTGAGGAAAAAGTTACAGTCTAACTGGACGTCCCGGCTAGAGTTACGACTGGAGGTCACTGCTGTTGAGTTGCACTCGTGGGAAGATACCTGGTGGGAGATCATCCTCAGCATCAGCACCTGAAAGGGGAGGCAGGCACATGTTGTTTGTACCATAAGGACAAACTATCTTCTTCACTCAAAATGTAACATTGAGAAAGCCTTTTAATGGTTATGCACACTTGATTATTGAAATAATACTTCTTATATATTAAATGTCACAAATCTCACCACAGCCATGAGCAGCTATACTGAATCAAACTAGGAAAGCATGATGTTCACGCTCTAGGTGCTCACGCTCTGCCATCACTGTTGCTTCTAATAATATCTTTGGGACTATTAAACATGTGCCTGATCATGCATGACCTCAAAACAGACTGAGCAGACCCCCAACCAGGACTCAGATAAGTGGATTGCCCCTTAATGGAAAATGTCAGCAGCATTTAAAAGGATTATACATGACAGCATTTATGTGAGTGGCATGTGTGGTTTGTGTGTGTGCGAGATAAAAGTAAAATAGTGTGAGATAGTGAATAGATTTTTAAGGAGAAAATATAAGGATGTGCAGCTTTCTGTCGAAACATTTCCACATATAAAGATCTGCAAGTGACAATAAAATAAATTGATCTGTGAATAAAAGGCACTGGGCAATTTACTATACAAGCTTTTACTGTATGAAAAGAAACAAGCATCTTTAGAAAATATACTGTATGTTAAATCTTTCTTATATCCTCAATTTCATTTGGCCATAGGAACTAGTGAATGCATGCAGTAAGAAAGTTAAAGGCTGAGTGGCCTATAAAAACATACCAGCAGAGGAGACCAGCATATAAGAAGGACGCACATAATCCCTAACAGCTGAACGACGGTCTCCGTGGTGAGCCGTTCCCACTGCTTTGAAGACTGAGAAGTGCCAGACTTTGTTTTACACCGGATAATTAAGCCACGGATTGTCACTACATTGCAGGAAAGTGTAACAAGCAGAGAGAAAATCCCAAGTACAGCAAAAGTGATGGCGAAAAACATATTGCCCGGGACTTCCCTGTCCCCCGTGCTGATAAAGCACCATGTGCCCGGCCACTGGCGCGTATATTCCCCGACCCCTGCAATGGGCAGCAGCGCAAAGAGCAACACAAGACACCAGATGACAGCCAAAGTCTGCTTTGTCACACTTGTCTTCATGTGATTGGAGTACCAGTGTGGATTTGTTATCGCCAGAGCCCTTTCAATTGCCATGGCGCTGGCCAAGAAGAGAGAGCACAGGCCAAAAGTTGTCATGCACACACCGAAAAAACCGCATAATTTGCCCGATGAGTCGATGCGCTCCCACTTCAGGTCCGCCCTGTAAACTGATATCACTATTGGACTTGTCAAAAGCTGTCCAAACAAGTCAGTTAACGCCAGTGATCCAATGCAAAGCAAGAAAGACTTTTTCCTTTTATTTTCCTTCTTTTGTAAGATACATACACCAGAATAAGAGCTAATGTGTTGCCCACCATGCCAGTGATCATCATGGCTATAGGGAAACCAACTGATACAGATCCACAACTGGAGTTTTTGGTGGCATTGCTTTCGCGCAATGACCTGGAGACGTTGAAGTCCAGCATCTCTCCAATCAAGTTTTTCAACCCCCCTAGAGAATCACAGCCGTCCTTGTACATAGTTTCGGAAAGGGTAAGCCTGAACGCAGCAGAGAACACAGGTATGTGTCCGGCATCCTCTTGCGCTCCAGCTGAATGAAGTGCGTAAAAGCGCGTTGGCTCCTTTTTACGCGCTGGAGGCGGGGCTACCCAGAAAATCAAACACAGGCACATAGTTTAAAATACACTTTCTAAACTGTACAGCACTTTTATGAAAACCTTGTGTGATATCCTTATACGTTCTATGTATAGGCTACAGGCACTTTAGGTGCAACCCTATCACTGCTTCGGTGCTCGACAAACTAAAGTCATGATGCTGGAGATGATCACATCTTGGTGGTGAGCATATGGGAAGACTTGTCGGATAAATTAGGTAACAATAAACCTGCTCTGCGCCTCTTCGAGAGAAATGGCACTAAAAAGACATGTATTAAATCTAGGCTACATCTGGTTGATGATCATGGGGACATTTGCTTTAAGGGATAAGAAGGTAGGCTATTAATGGTTTCTCATACAAATAGTTTAAGTAGCCTACTTGATGTGAATTTAGATTAGAGCATGAACACATTTCACTACTAGCCTACTCAGATGATACACTAACAGCACGTTGCTTTCACGGTTCCACTGCCAGCAGCTTCTAATATTTCCAACCTACGAACACTTGTTAACCAACTTTAAATGCAGTCCGGGACATGTATCAGACACCGATACGTACCCATCCCTGTTAAACTCAGGACGATAACAGCAGTGCCACCTGCTGACCACAATGAGAACGACAACACAAGTCTAAAGCCCATTCAAAATTCAACTAGTCAGGAGTATTTATTCATTTAATGGTTTACCTTATAATAAAAAAAGAGCTAGTTTTTAAATATGAGCTGTTACACTTTAAACACTGTTGTCTTTATTCCTCCCCTATTTTTAAAATCAGATCTGTATTGTGAACTTGTTTGAAACTCATGATTGATTTTTGCCATTTGTGTGCAATAACAAAACATCATTAGCTATCAAAAGCCTCCATAGCTACACAACTTTGCTGGTAGTGAAACTGTGATTATGTATACACATCTGCAAAAATAAGCTAATCTTGGCTAAATCAAACGCAACAACAAAGTAACAGTCGACAGGATTTTATTTACACGTGTACATTTGAGTTGTTTCACCATTAAAGACTGTATTGCCACTTTCTACCATGAATCAGGATATACTGTTTGTTATTCTGGAAGTACTAATCTTAAGTACGAATATTAATATTATTAATTCATAATTTCTTAAATGTTTTAGTTTCCCAGGTGACAAATGAGAAGGTATAACTTTAAATTGTAACGTGTGACAATTGTGTAAAGAAAAAAAATAGAAATACAACACTAAACACCTAAACCAAAGAATGTGGAATTTACAGCCATTTAGTTAAAACACGCAATATCAAAAAGTAAAATACTTACCTTGACAGAAAGCAAAAAAATATTTTTAAGGAAATAAAAACAAAAATACCAATATGAATTGCTATATCTGTTATAACAAGTTGGTGCTTAAGTACTTCATATTTTATAAAAAAAAAAATGAAAGTATTTAAAAAAATAATAAAAGTACCAAAATATCAGATATTTCTAGGGCCACGGAAAAAATATAATCAAAAATGATCACTTTAATTTCCCCACAGAGGCGTGGAATAAAATGTACTGCTACAAAGATATGCGTTTTTAAGTAGCCTACTGCCTTTTTACAGTTCATCTGAATTTCATATGGGACTAAACACTTGTGTTTATTGGACACCTGCAGTTACAGACACTTGTCACAGTTTGGGGTGTAGGTGGTTTTAAAAAGGGATGATGTGCAACGGCAGAGGGAGTCATGTTGCCACTCTGTTTTTGAAGAAAATAAGACTTTTTATGAAAATGGACATCATACTGAAATGATGTGGTTGTTTTGCTTCCAACGCAACATGCACTTTTCTACTAAGGTTCCTTTTCTTGTTTTTAAGGCGTTAAAGTTATTTCTTTTTTGAGCTGGAGCCAGAATGGGAGGATCCAGAGGACTGCCCACGGCACCTGAAATCACACAAACACCACGGGAAGAAAGACAAGGTCAGCAGGCTCAGATGTTAACATTCACCTATGCATTCTTGAAACAACAACATGGTTAACAAATGTATGTAAAAACAATATAACAAGGCAAAATGTGAGGATATTTCTATAAATCTGAACTCCCATAAGCGAGGCGACAGATGGCTAATAAGAATCAGTGCCATTGTGGTATTCCACAGAAACCCAAACCTTTCGGACGAACGTGATCTAGAGCGCCTCCGCTTTTTCTCTCCAGATGAGGACCTGGAGCGACTGCGCTTCTGTCCCCTCTCAGGTGAGGAGGAGGGGGAGCGGGACCTCTTCCGGGGAGAGGAGCCCTTTCCAGACTTGGAACTGGATCTTTTGGAGGAATAAACCAAGCACTAGGGTCAGTAAGGTCAAGACACAGTCCCATCAGCGTCGGTTTTTATCAAGTTTAAGAGCACTTAAATATAGGTCATCCCAAGATGCTGAAGAAAATGTTTAGCATCAAGTCAATATAATTAAAGCACTCCTATTGAGAGTGTGAGATTAAAACCCAAGCTCTAGACGTTTTAGCTTTGGTCAAATTAAATCTCAGTTCAGATAGTTAAATTGTGTACCATTTATACTCCCAGTCCTAAATTAAAATTTGAAAAAACCCCAGATCAAATTATTTGAAAGCGTCAAGGCAGATTGTGAATTCAGTCTTTGTTCAAATGTTAGCTGGGGAGTAGGATTGCTCTGGAGCTTTGCCCTGTACATACACTCTCCTAGGGAGAGAGTGCATGTCACCTCATTCACCTGGAGTGGGACCTGGAGCGAGATCCAGACCTGGAACTTGATGAGCTTCTAGAGTGGGACCTGAAAGACAAAAAAACAAAACCTTTCCAATATTTTCTGAACAAGACAAATACCTGGACGGGTCACACAGGATAGTACAAACAGTTGGACAGTATTTCAGTTAGACTATTCATTACAGTACAGCTTAACTGATGAGTACATGTTTAGACTAACAAAAGATGCTTTTGTGGGTTTGGTGAAATAACCAAGTAAATAGAAAGACAACAAAAACAGGTAAAATCTTCAAACAGATATTCAAGGTGCATTTCAAGTCTAGAATATCAACAATGCATTTGTTCTAATAAAAGTCAGGCGTTTCAAAACATAAAGCGACATCTAGAAACTTCTGCACATCAAGGTTCTAACACCACAGTCGGGGAGGGGTTGAGAAAACAACAAATCGGCAGAACAAGACATGTATTAATGTGGATCAGTAATTCAGAAGGAAGATTGAGCTGATACTGACATTTTGCCCGGAGTTACCCTTGACCTGTACCCTTTTACCTGGACCTCGACCGTGAACTGGAGCTGGAGGAGCGCGAGGAGGAGCCGGAGCGGGACGAACCCGAACGGCTGCCCTTTTTCTGAGCTGGCGTGTCCTTGTCCGTGTCCTTGTCCTTGTCTTTGTCCTTGTCCTTGTCCTTGTCCTCATCCTTGTCCTCATCCTCACTAGCGTCCAGGTCGTACTTTGAAAGGTCTCCATCTTCGTCATCGTCTTCATCATCCTTGAGAAGACGTGTTGGTTATAACACAATCATTGTATAGTATTTTAATTTAAACTAAATGTTTTCTTTTGAATTTAAAGGATCCAGCAACCAATCTTACATCTAATTTGTATTTGGAAAGGTCACCCTCTTCCTCTTCCTCATCCTCTTCATCTTCCTCGTCGTCGGGAGCTTGAACTTTAATTGGTACTACTACCTTCTTCTCAGGTTCGCTCTTTTCATCTTTTCCACGAAACTTTTTCTTTTTCCTACCAAACTGTGACATAAGAAAGCAGTTTAGAAATGAAGATTTCAGATGCCACATGTGTACATGGCAGTAAGTCAACCGAAATGATGACAACTCACTTCATCATATTCCCCGTCAGAATCCTCTCTTTCAATGTATTCCACGTTTTCTCTTTCATTGAAACCTCCACCGTAACCTGAATGGCGAAAATAGGCTTTAGAAACTCGTTTTCAAACACACCAAGACTTGCCAAAATACACATTTGTTGACATACCGGTTCTCTCCTCGAGCTTGGCATATTTTGGGGTGTTACACATGTTGCACTCTGACCTCCTGGCCCAATTGACATTTCCACATCTGTACGAGAGTAGAAGAGTAAAATAAGAATCTGTAAGAACTCAACACATTTAAAAATAGAAAAAGGGAAGTAAATATTTCAGCTAATTTGGAAACAAAAGGGTTATTGTGTATTCATAATCATGTGTGTGTATACAGTAAACTATTTAGTTAATTTGCTCAATTGAGTGGTTAATCAAACATTTTGGTAGTTCCTTATAATTTACAATACACCTTACGTTTTGCATTGCCAATCGTTTGCACTGAAGAGGCCTCTACTCTTCTCAGCCAGAGTTTTTCCAATCTCTGTCCCTCCAGCTTTCATCATTTTGGCCTCTGTGGTTTTCTCTGAGGAAGCATAACAATGTTGTTTCAGTACAGCAGCCTTTTGACAGAATGTATGAAGCCTGAATCTAGATTTAACAATGTGCATAAAGAAGGACTCACCGCTGCCACATCTGTTGCAACTTGTCCTTCGAGCAAAATTTACATTTCCACACCTGCAAAAGGATAAAGATGAATACATAGTAGCCACAGATACAACATTGGCCTTGTTACTTCACAATACAGGCGTAAACTGAGTAGGCTTCACGCAAAAGTAGTGGTGTATGTTTATTTATCTCTCATGTTTAACATCATTAGCTTGTAGTCTTGCTTGGGAAAGCCTGTGTGAAAGGCCTGCACAACTGCAGCTGGCTTGTCTGTCACTCAAGACGTTTCTAATGCAGCTCATGTGCAAACTGATACTGCTGACTACACAAGTTACCTAAGATAGAC